AGATGCACTGATTGTGGGTATGGCTAGTTACCGAAGCCTTTTCACCCCAAACGTACTACTCCCGTTGCTTGTTTTTACTGTGGGCGCTGCTAAACATTCGTAGAACGTTTCATCGACGTTGATTTTACGCATTTTAAGCTCTCATTTCACCGAAAACCGTAAAATCAGGCCTTTCCGTTATCAGCAAAACGTATCCCTTAATTCAACCTGCCATAAAGTCGCAAGCATCGCAATTCCTTTTAAAATTATTTGCTTTCAACTTTCAGTGGAATTTTTTATCCAGTTTTTCTACTCTACTTCAATACTCAGTACCCAAATATTCTACTACCTATCGTTTCTAGAAACAAAGGATGAGGAACTGATAAATTAAAGTCACTGCATGATATGGCTACAAATCGCTAATGCTCTCACTGATTATACGCCGACTGATATTCTTCTGAAAATGTAACACAGACAATGTTCGAGATTTCTGAAGATTTATTGTGTTAAGAATCATCTCATTAGCGATAATAACAATATACAGTTATAATAATGATATTGATTTGACAATAACAAAGATAAAATTAAAAAATCGCTTCATAAAACCAGTGCAAATGCAACATCAAACGCAAATGACAAATTCTGATATGTACGGCGAGCATGTGTCGAACCTATTATTCAGTTCTATTCATTTCAACAACAATATCTTTCAAGAAATGAACACAAGCAACATTCAATTAAAGAAAACAAAGCACCAAACTATATGCCATTCGAAGAAAACATCTCCAAAATTCACAACAACGTGAAAATCCCAGGAAATTGCCGTCTCAAACGGAAAGAAGCCTTATCTCACCCAATTAATTCCACTCTTTCCATAAAATAGTTTCAATAATACTTATACCATACGGCAATAACTAATCACAAATACCAGCAGTACAATGCAATGCAGTTATAGCAGTAACAAAGCAACATTCAATAACTAATGAGTAAATTTAGATGTGTAATAAAAAATTATACTGGCTTAATGTGCAATGTACATTGGAAGGAAAAACTTCAAAGACGAAATTTCCATTCAGTTCGACCATTAACTTCTTCACTATGATACAACATTTCAACGAGAGAGGGGCCTCGATTTTACTCCTGATAGATATCTCGCTCAAATGAACTGAGCAAAATGTTGTCGAAATTCACATTTCATGAAAATTTCGCAACTTCTTTTAACAACTCCATCGTCCTTCCCGACATCCTGTACAATTCATGCTCAACATTATGCGATTACTCACAAAAACAACAAAAACCGTTTCCTTTAAATAAGCGATAAAAAAGATCAAACGATGTAATGAATCAGTAACTTTAATCGTAAGTGACGAGGGCTCCTTCATCAGGTGCACTAATGAAACAAAAACTATTTTGGTAGAGCTCTACGAATGCATGCTACAGATTCTGTCAATAAAATAACAATAATAATAACAATTATAATAAGCATAATATTGATTATGACAAGAACAATACTAATAAAACCAGTTCTCAGAATAATAATAATGACAGTAACGATAATAATAATCACATAGCAAACAACCATAATAATACCGTTTCGAAAAACAACGAACTAAGTCATCATAAACTCAACAAAACCATTCTTATCTAATTTTCGTTATCAATGTTCAAAAAAANAAAAAAATATCTGATAATCAAATAAAAAAACAAACAAAATAAATTATCACAATCTGATCACATAGCATCAAATCACCTCATTCACACTTCGCTACTCTTCAATAAATGCATTCTTTCCAAGTATGACAACATTGATAATATCAATATTAATTACAGTAACGAAAATAACGGCAATAATCATGTATAAGACTACAACAAATATCATTTCTCCGAATCTATTTCACTAAGTATGTCGCATCCGCATTAAATTATTCAACAATCACTTGAACAACAGTCGGCGTGAACCCTAAAATTTTCATTACTTATTTCAATAATTATCCTCTTTACATCATTGATATATTATAGACACGCTTGTAGTTATCATTACACTATCAATATTACTATCATTATCATGATAATATTTCTATCTTCATTACTCCCATCAAAATTACACCCTTACAACTGCTACTTTCATACTGTCATTCACATCTGACCATTCGATATTCCATTCATTTTAATATCATTTTCAAATCCTCTAAATTTTTTACCTGTTTCGAGAATCCATTTGAATGTTGCTGTTGTTGATTGGATGTTTCTCGCAGAGATGTAATTGTATCGGTTTGATGTTCGAGTTGCGTGTTCAATTCACCCAAATGCTCGTAAAGGCTACGCATTTGGTCTTCATATCCCTTTCGAGTCGTTTCCAAATCATCCTGAATATTTTCACTTATACGTTATCATTTATAGCTTTTCTATGGCAAGAACAATTTCAAAGAAAAAGCCAACAAAGTAAAAACAAAATAAAACACTTACATTCAACAAAACGATTTTACGTGTTGATTCCATTAAATTTGAGCTTAACGTTTCCTTTTCGTGCACCACACTCGATGTTTCTCGTAACAGCTGTTCACACTACAATTACCACATTCATTCATTCAGCAGTTCAATAACTCACCAACCTCAGTTTTATAATAACCAGCTCGACTATTTGCCAACTGCAGCTGTGCCAGCAGTTCACCGACCCGTTTCTCGTGATATATACCCAACAGCTCCAAATCATCCTCATCTCCTATTCGATTATCACCATCACCATTTCCATTGTCTGTCCTCGCTGCAGCAGATGAAATCGACAACGATGCTAATTTCATTTTCAGCAATTCCCTCTCCACCAGAATCCTCTCCTTTTCTTTCTCCAACTCCAACGCCCTCTTCAACGCTGAATTCAACTGAAAGCTATTTATCGGTCACACAAACACAACTAAATCTAACTCAAATATCATTCATTATCAATTTCATTATCAAAATATTTCTATCACGTCAACTGCACCATAACTATACACAAGATACCCAATTGTCTAATCAAATAACTGTTAGAAAACATCGCCACTTGATTCGATTCGCTCTGAATACGATAAACGTACGCAATGTTAAATGTTCCTCAGTGACAATTAAAATCTCAAAAACCTAAACTGCAATAGAAATTAATAAATCAGATTAAATGATGAAACAAAATACGAACCTCCTGCTCATTACTACGAACACTGTGCGATTTTTCCACTCCTTTCACCGACTGTTTTTCGAGATCATCGCACGATGTCGATGACTGCTTTAATATCACTGCTTGAGTTGTCGATTGCTCTCCAGATGATGAAATTTTCAATTCTGAATCATTTGCTGTCGCGCAGTTTGCTATTGCCTTACTCGTCTTAACCAATTCCGCATTTCCAACCTCCCTGAGCAGACGGCCATTTCTAGACAACAATTCAGTTTCACCTTTAGCAATACCATCAACATAATCATCAGTGATCACAGATCCGAGCATTCGATCGTCACTATTCGCTATTTCTTCAGATTTCTTCAGAGTCGTTGACCCGCTCGATGCTAGCATCGCTTTAAGATTGTTGCTCAACGTATCGTTCAAAATAATCAACAACGCATCTAAATTCTCCACATTTCTCGACAACGAACGAAGACATTTCTCAATACATTCGTTCACACATCGTAAGCGTTTCGATGCCGTCGGTATGTGATTCTCGGCGAAGATTTTCGACGAGAACACTCGAACACATTCTGAAATCAAATTCAAATTCGAATACAACCCAAAGCCCAATTATCACATTCACTCGACTCGTCCTGAAGAGAGCACAACAAAACCCACAAACTTGAACTACCAAACCAAAATGCACGCAATTCAATAAATAAATAAACCCATTTCCAACAGCCTAAACTACAAACCAAACTCAATCAAAACAAATCCAAATGTTCAACAAAATTCGACAAAAATTCGAAACTTTCACCTAAAGTGATTTCATGTAAATCGTGTAAAGGTGTCAAAAATGCACTGATTTCGAGATTTTCATTATGAGTGCTACTTTCGACTGCACAATCACCCTTAATATTGCTATCATATCGCTGTGCTAACTGCAATAACCATTCCAATAAAGCACTAAAAGCTTTTTGCCATTCTTCGTTCGATTTACACAGTTTGGGTCCAGCGAACGCGAGGCGATTCTCGCGATCAATACCCTCACAAAACAGCTCTTTCCAGTTCTGAAAATATGCAATGCGGAAATCATAATGATAACACAACACCAAACAATTTCAATAAATCAATGAAAAATATCATAAATTAACACAAACCTGAATTGAACTGAATGCCTCAACAAAACACGGTAAGATCTGTTGACAGTGGGCAGTGACGCGACGGGTTTCCTCTTCATTTATGATTACCTCGCCAATGAATTCATCCAATCGCATTGTAATATTATCAATTAAATCAACACTTCGCACCAAACGTTCACCATACTAAACCGAATAATAATAATAACAAAAATAATATTCATCATAATAATGACCAACAATTTAATGACATCGATGAATATAAAAATAACAATCTCAATGATAATCCTAACAATGCTAACAATAATAACAACAAAAACAATTAAAATAAACAACCCAAGACTATAAATCAAATAAGCTATACATAAACAAATATCCAACCCACTAACCAATTTCGTGCTTTCCGGTAACACCTCAAAATTCATATCGTTTGGATAGATTGTCGATCGTTGCTCCAATAATCTCAGTAACGATGAAAACGATGTGATAAGAGTATGCGTACTTCGTAAGCTGTCAACTATCAGCGCATGTCCAGGATTGTCTTCTTGATTCTGCGAAACAGTTTCCGGATTTGTTGATGATGACGGTTCTGAATACGCACATCCGTTCCTTAAACATTCACTCATCCACTACATTAACCTTACTACATCCACAACTCAAGAACAACAATCAATCATTCTCTTATCAGAAACAAAAAACAAAATCTGAAGACTAAAAAGAAACGTTTCGGGTTGTTGCTGTTGCTGTTGCAATACAGAACGTATCAATTCATTCTCTTGACCCCTTTGATTCTTCATTTTCGATTTCGATTCTGACCGCTGAACCAATACACCACCATCTTCTTTTCTATCGCCAGCAACATTAGACAATGCCTTCACTCTCAGTTTCTCCACTTCCGATCGAAGCATATCGTTCTCCTTCTGCAGCCATACACACTTCTCATTCAACGCCGCTATGTCCTTGTCGCGTAGAGATTCCAATTCAAAAATCTGAATTCAAAATCTTAATAATGAAAACAAGAAAACAAATCCTTCAATTCATTCTCGAAACGTTCATCTATTCTATTCTCCATTGCCACAAACCACATCTCAAACCATTCTCACAATATTTCACCGACAATGATACATCCATCAAATCAATCCAATTCTAAAAATCGCCCGTAAAATACAACATCACTGAACACCACTCACTTTACTATGCAATCGCTCATTCTCCTGAACCTTCACCATCAGTTCTTCTTCCAAAAGAGTCGTATCGATTTGCGGTCGTTCCAAGCGCTTCGCTGACGATGGAGTGCTGCTCTGAGCAGCCGACGACGATGTGGGACGCTTCTGAAACTAATTCTCACTGGCACCACAATCAATTATGATAGCATCTTATCTCAGAACACTGTCAAAACTAAACCTGAGAATCTCAATTCATCCTTAACACAAGCGATTTTCAGTCAACATTTGAATTTGAATCGATTTAATGGTAACAAATCAAAAAAAAACCTTTCCAGAATGTTGATGTGTTGATTTGTCGATTTCCAATTGCAATGCTTCAACCCTCTTCAACAGTTGATTATTTCGAAATCCTAAACTTTCATTTTCGGCCTCCAACTTACGAAGAGCACTCTCTTTGGCATGGTTTTCATCCTGCAATTCCGACCATTTTGAGACTCTCAAGTTAAATTTCTCTAATCAATCAAACAACCAAGTCATCAAGTGAATTTGGGCTCATCTCAATACATATCATATTATATAAATCTCAATTTATAACTATAATTCCATCAATCGAAAACAACAACAACACATTTCTAAAGAAACACAAGTTTAAAATCAAAATCAAGTTTTAAAATAAAATCAACAGAACTTAAAACACTCACAGTTAAACGTTTCGTTTTGGCCTGTTCACTAAGCACCGCATTTTTCAGCACCGGTATTTGGGCTTTTAACTGAAAATCAATGAAGAACTCAGAATCTGAATGATCCACAAAAAAGCCAACTGCCCAACATAATAATCGTATGAAATGCGATACAAATTCCAAATCATCCAATCCAAAAAGAAATCATAATCAACGAAATACAAACCGAATAAATGAACAAAACTAACTTTTGCGTACTCACTCGCCACTCGATGATACTTTGTCGTTATATCGGTTGTTGACGATATCGTTGACATCTTCGAGTTCAGGTGTCGATTCAATCAATTGATTTATTTTTTTTCTCCAAAACAAATTGCTTCCGAAACAATTTCTCCAGTCAATTAGAATTTCTTTTTTTCCGCAATCCAAATCAATTGACTGATATTAATTTGTATTGTTTATTTACATAAAAATCGCCCTCAATGAGATCATTTCACATTGATCATCGAATCAATCTAATCAATTGATATTAAGTGCAAAAAGATTCTTTTTCCCAATAGGACGGCTGAAAATAGAAAAGCAATTGTTCACTCCATAAAGAAATCCAAAATTTTGAATGTTTCGTTGAGAAAGTATGCGATATCCACAGCAGGTGAATACACATCCAAACACATTATCAATCGCGATCGCTACCCACTAAATCAAAATCTAACTCTAAATACCAAAATGTTTCCACAAAAAACAATAACACATGATAAACCTTATTCTTTACTACCTCTATTACAATCTCAATATTACAGTTCCTGTGTACAGTCACAACATATCAAACAATATCTCTTCTATCAATACAATGCAATACACTACAATACAATCACAAACAAATTCATATACAATCTCACACTCCATTGAAATCGTTCAATTATGCCATCATTCAATCAACCGACAATAAACAATATCAATTTCACATAATCACCACCATATCACTTCAACACTTCAGATACCATCTATCAATAGCCTACAATTCGGTACAATTCCGCATGTTCGCCTACACGTTGGCAACGTTGGGTGGAGGTGAACGGTTTTTATTTTGAATAAAATTGTTGATCTTGAACCGAGTTATGAAACTTTGAAATTTTCAGTCTAACTGCCCGAGAACTTTTTACCATACCTATTAGTTAACAATTGTTAACTTCCTAATCTGCCGTACCAAATAATTAAAGTTAATACTTCCTTCCACACAACAAATTCTATCTATATAACAATTTCATTTCACAAAATTCTTCTTCGCTATTCTTCAAATAATATTATTTGCTTAAAGATTCATTCNCACTCTCTCTGCAGTCATCAATACAAAGAAAAGACCAGTCGCAAATGTCTATCTCTCAACCTGTTACAATTGCTATTCGATTCGTATGAGCAAAACTTGTTTGGAAATTAATTACAGAGACGTTAGAAAAATTAAAAATCGCTATGAAAAAATGAATGTTTCACTAAATATGTGACCTCTCCTCCTCAAACTTCAAATAACCGATTATTCTACGCGATAAATTCTATTGTAACAACAAGTGTGCGATTAACAGACATGCGATTCAAGTGGAGATATTCGCTGCATTCCATATTTCCACTAACAAAAAAAACGTTTAGGGGATATTCTAAATCTGAACTGAACACATTTTTAATTTATGCAATTCAGAATCGAAATAAGAGATCATGAAACAAACTAACAATAAGATGTAAATTCTCTGAAGAGATATTCAATCTGAAAAAAAAAACAAAAAAAAGAACAATTCACTTTCACCAATTGCATAAATTACAAACAAATGAAAATATCAAAATCGAATCCGGTCGATAACGATGACAGTTTATTTTCAATTTATCTTACACATAAAAATCTGCAGTAAAAAANAAAAAATTGTTTATTCAAATTCAAGAAAAGAAACTCAACGATATTGCAAGGAACTCAGGAAAAGAAAGATAACAAACATAAAGACTGTTGAAATTAAATCGAAAAGTATGAATAAATGAAGTAGATGAGTATCGAAAATTCTAACAATAGCAATTCTGAGGACAATAAGACTGTTCAAATAACAATACTATACATGTGGTAACTTGATAACGATACTATCATATCAATACCTACCGCAACATCATTATCCTTACGATAACAATGATATTATCATAAGAACAATAATAAATGATAATGTGCTACCGCACAGACCCCCGCAGAGAAGTAATTACCCATTTTTGGGTAATTTAGAGGTTTCATCGGAGTAATGGAAGGGATCGGGAAATCATCGGAGTAAGTTACACGTGGAAATAATAAATTATTACAGCGGATGACGGGGGCAATGACGGGCTGCCAGATCATCCAATGGGGTAATGGGGCATCCGAGGCTGGGGACCACTTTACTATTGTAAAAGAGACTACACTTTATTGCATTCAACAAGTACAATCACTCAATGATATTACCTCTTCCTGACAGTGATAACAGTCTTAATAATGACAATACGATCGNAAACAAGTCAGCTCGTCTACAAAAATGATATTCATTGTGATAAAGTACAGTAAATTATTCCAATTAATGAGATCATCCTATTGTACGCAATACAAAAGGAAAATTGATTCATCAAATATTGATATTATCATAAAAGAATAACATAAAGGAACAAAAAGGAATAATATTATTAATATTACCATGAAGGAATAATATAAAGGCATATAACGGAATAACATAAAGGAATAACCAATATCTCATCATCAATGTCTCAATTCATCATAATAGTAACATTGATCCCAACATATCAACAATAAAAAGCATTCATATCATATCAAATCAATGCCTAACACAGCGAGGATAACTTCTTCCAAATCAAAATCATCTTCTCTCCAAAATTCAATCTCCCCACATTCTTTCCAATAAGTTCTCGCAAAAAATATTAAACACCCCTCAGAATCCCATCCGATTAGCGAGCAAATGAATTCTGCGAACGAGAACAAAGCCAGACCCTCTCCCACTGTCATCGCTTGATCGGAAACCAAAATCCCCGAAGCGCAAAATAACAATTTTAATAACAGCAATGATATGAACAAAAACAATAATAATACCAATACAAAAAAACCACAATAATAACACCAATAAGTACTGCACAGCATAGCATAGGTATAATAATAATAACAATAATACCATCATCATTGATAATATAACCAGCAGCATTCATAACTATTATATCGCCAGTAGTACCAACGACATCATCAAATAGAATTACAACAAAAGTGCTATCAGTACCAATATTAACATCAATAACGAGTAAAATATTAAAATATCAATGCAAACTGTAATATTCATTACAATTCAACAAAATGACAAATTGAACAATCGCTTTATCTTTACTTCAATTCCAAAAAAAANTATTCACTAATGGCGGTTTCATGTCGCACGTCGAAACTTTTCTACCCGAATGATCTAATGTCGACGCAGAATCCGCGCCATCCTTAACATTTCCATTATCAGTGCTCTTAACACCATCATCGCTATCAGCCACTGCAGGAAAAGTACTCTCCTTGACTGTTCCATCTTCACATTTTGACAATTCCTCTCCGGTTTCATTGGTTACATCATCGTTGCCTTTCCTTTCGTTATCATTACTCACAGTGCTGTTTACGTTATCAGCACTACTTTCCGCAACGTCGTTCGCATTATTATCCTTATCGCTCGTAACATGACCATTATCTCGATCGTTGCCATTTTCAGTCATGGAACTATCATTAACGGCATCGCTCTCGATCGGTTCATCGACCAGTTTCGATGAACAAAAATTCGTGCAGACCCATGTGCCGGTCGGAGGTGAAGATAAACCCACACAGAACGTGTGATATCCGCGATCACATCGATCGCAAAACATCATCGCGTCCTATACAATAATTGAAATTAATCTCTAGTCTAGTCGACACATTCATAAATCTGATCAAATTAACTCTAAACCTTCTTCTTTCCCTCCTAACCTAAAGATATCCAAAATTCCAATCAAATCACAAATAAACAAATAAATGCTCTCACCTCATTATCCGGTTTCTCGCACACCGTACACTTCTTGCACTCGATACAGTTCCATTTATATCCTAGCGCTATAGTCACCACTCGTTCCGGTAAACTTGCACATTGCGGATGCACTTTCGTTGGACAATTCGAGCACGCCAATATTTGCTGTTCGTTGCTGATCCCACAAATCGAACACATCATCTCGTCTGCCTTCCTTCTCATCGCTGATTCTCTCGCAGCTGCTGCTGCCACTTGATTCACAATATCCGTTATCTGAATCTTATTATTATCATCCAATATCATCACCCACCATTACTATTCATCACTATTAATACATATTAACATAATTTATATAACTGTTACACAACAATATTTAACCATTGTTATTATCATTATCATCATTACAATTATCCTGATCATCATTCTCATTTGAACCATTATTATTCTACTCATTCTTATTCTTATTACAAGTAAATGCTTCANTACTTATTAATATACAACAGCGAATATCATTTGTTCAAACTGTAACCTTACAAAAATCTCATCACCACTTCCAGTCTTTACCAATACCGTGATCGCTATCACTACCAACTAATTCCAAATTCTTTCTCATCTATTCGAATGATACTCAAGGCAATAACTCGCTCAAAATCCCAGTCTCTACAAGCTCGCTTTTATTTACTCCCCACATTTATAATCCATTCCTCCCGTATACAGTATTTTTGCTTATCATATCAATGAAATGATTATTACGAACTTACAACAGAAACAATGAATAATTTCCAACTTATCACAAACAAGTACCACCAAATCATCTTATCCAATAAACTCAACAACACAACACATAAAACTGAGCCACACAGAATCAACCATCTTTCTAAGAATATCATCACGGACGAATGCTGAGATACAAACCAAATCCTAGCCTCTTTCAGGCTCCACAACGTCACTGTCACTAAATATCACCGTGTATAATAACAATAATAATAAGAACAATAACAACAACTGTAACAGGAACAATAATAATAATATCAAGATTATTCACAAAAACAATTGAAACTGTAACAAAACTGAACGTTCCCTGTTAAATAAGGTTTGTACTCTCTCGGATTCGATCAAATACTTTAATATATCAAACACATATTGATACAAAAACGACGCAACCATTCATTAATGAATGAAATACAATTCCAAAACAAACTATACCACCAAAGGAATGACAATGAATCGAGCAAGGAACATATCACCACAATAACCCTTAACATTTATTTATGACTTAAAATGATATGAATACATCTATCATAATAAACAAAATGTTCAATTTCATATATCATATATCAAAATCAACCACTTCAATCGAATCGATCAAAAGCAATACATCAATAACGCCTTTCTCTTTATTCGCTCATAAAAGCAGTTTTGTTTCATAACATTATATGCACATTAAAATAATGACAAACACAACATCTCAAAATTTTGAGGTCTCAATTGCGACTGAATGCAAGAAGAAACTCTCTTCAAATACGAATAAAACAATCAAAGAATAACGTTTTATGAGGTAAAAACATAACACAATCATGAGCAAGAAAAGGAACACGTAGAGGCATTAACAAGTCCGAGAATATACGAGGTGAACTCAAGCAACGTATAAATCAATCAATCAATCAAATGATCTCATTCACCGCTCATAAAATATCACTTATCCATCAAATAAAACAATAATCTAAATTCCAAAACACTATCACATCATCAAAATTATCACAAAACGCCAACGCAAACATAACCCAAAACAAAACACTTCAGAATCTCTCCTCTCCTTCAATGTAAAAAATGAACAAACAATTCATAACCTCGTCTCTTCTAACTAACCAACCACCCAATCAAACCCGTCTCTCAACGATACACTCGTTCTTTTACCTTTCACTATTATAAACGAATCTCAATGATTAAACAAAACTCACAAATACATATACATAAACATATACACAAAACCAAATCGCTCTATACACAACTCAATTACCAATCGAAACATACCCAAAAACCCAACCAAGCAAACAAATGCTAAAACCTTCAACCGACCTGTGGCTTCTCGTCACGTATTTCACTCTTCACGTTGTCCAACGAAACCAATCGTTGTCCATTCATCGCGCTACTATTGCTCGTCTCTTGAACTCTTCCAGTTGAATGTTGTTGTGAAGCATTACCGTTCGAATTCGTTGCTGTTACACCATTCTTGTCCTGTTGATCGCTGCCAACACCATCGTTTTGCTGCGTCGTTGCGAGATCAGTATCTTGTACGATCACGGGTGGCGGTGATATGCCTCTCTTCGGAGGCAGCAAGTACTCATAGTCGAGTACTGTGGTCAATGGTAGACCACGTAGTTCTTCGGCACTGTACCTACAAAATATCTGCCCAGTACTATATACACAATGAAATATTATCATATCATCACTGCTCAATTCTGAACATCAACAATCACTATCGTTACTAATATTCGCGTCCCTGCCCAAAAAACCATCATTCAACTGAATCATCATTTCAACCAACCTTTTATAATAATGCTGGTATTGACCACTTATCAGTGCCACCGGATAAGGTCCTGGACGAGTGGCCTCTGGAATATATCGTCGCCAACGATTCCTTGGAGACTGTATAATCTGTAACAGCAAAAATTACTCATTGTCAGACCCACTTTACTCCATCAATAATGAAAAATTCTCTTATGCAATTCATACTCCAAACTGAAAAACACGAATACTTCGAGGCAATAACTTATTCACCCACGCACACGTTAACTATTCAGTCATCCACAAAACCGAACCAGTCCAATCCAAAACGTTCCTTCTCAGTTCCATCTAATCACATATCTCAATCATCCATCTTCCAAACAATCACTAATTCAATTCAGTTCACTCACTCACCTCGTAAAAGAAAAGTTCAAAATCCACCAAAAACCACTAACCGATGTTTGAATATCCCAGAAATGTCTCCGATCCACTCTCTTCACCGCGTTCACTTCTGCGTTATAATCTGCCGCACTACGGATCGCATTTCTTCGCAGTTCTTGCAGTTTGATTTTATCCACTTTGATCTGAAAACATTCAATTCGATATCACAACAAACCACAAATTTTCATCCACCATAACACAACATCGCAAATCAAATTGATAAATGCTAATAAGTGATCAAAATAATGAAAACAGCACAACTAACCGCATCAAGTTGCTTCTGTTGCTCGGCCATTTGCAACTTGACTTTGTCTGCAGCGGCTCGTTGATATTCCTAAAAATTTCAGAGAAAAATAAAGCGAACCAAACAACATCCCAAAATCAAAATCAACTACTCTTAAATGCAAATACTCTCAAAATTTTTCTCATCATCATTACCAAACAATAACACTTAACATTAATCCTCTCAACTAAATCCAAGTCTCAATGAACAATCAAAATCAAATATAATCCCATACAAATCCAAGCGAATCCATGATCAAAAACGCACCGAATATATTGCTGGATAGTCGGCAGCCATCAGTTCGTGCACTTCAATGGCACGTAGCGCGGTCAGTCCATGCATCTCTGAAACAATTTATTTGTTCTGAGGCGTCACTGAAGTTCAGTTTCGTTTTTTATAAGTACGTGAACCATGCATGAACCTCCTCTCCCATACCAAATTCCTTCGCCTGCCTAATCGTTCAACTCAATTCATAACAAACCACAAATAATAACAAAATTTCAATAATAATAAAAATTTTTCGTCATCCACTTCTCACCTCAAAAAAAGATACTGCTAAATAATGATCNAACTAACGATGTTCGTTGATGACCGATGCCAATTTATAACTGCACAACAGATGCTCGCGTTCGTTCATCTCGATCATGTGTCGGCACAAATCCGGATACTTCCGTTTGAACGACTTCACGTCCAACAGCTCTGCGATTTGCTCCTAAAATCATCAGCTATCTTGCAAATATTGTTGTTATCGTATTCATTACTGACACTATCATAACTTTTATATTCTAATCATCAGTGAAGCTTTCATTATAAAGCTCGCCATACCATCAAATAAAAATTATCAAACAGATCCTCACCTGAATGAAGAAACGTTCGCCTGATTTCACTGGCCATTCGTATTCGATAATATGACTTGGCTCGATGTGCATGTGCGTAGTATCAGTTGTAATCACCCGCGATGATGAGCTCTTGACGATTGGCTTGATCACTTCTTGCTTCGAGACTGGAAACATTTTTTTATTCAAATTAAATCTGATCCTTCGTCATCAATATTGCATGCAGTGTCTTTTCCTCTAACCATATTTGACAGTCGAAAACAGTCACAACGAAACTGGTTCCAAATAGGTCATCACAATAGACCATTCAAACACTTACATAGATACGATGCGGGAACATAAGAGAAATGAGTGATAATAATAATAATAATGAAGAATATTTTCTCATTGTCAGCTTCGATGATAAGCATTCAATTCCAACTAATCATTAATCAATTCTCCTGAATTAAAGGGAAGTTTGTCTATCGATTCGTCACTGACCTTTCTTAGGTGGTTCCGACTGAGTTTCGTCGATTTGCACCGAAGACGACAATTTTGTTGATTCGTTGCTGAACTCATCACAGTTCGGTGGCACTGAGTCGCTGACCTTCGAGTCACACGACTCGTCTCCACCAAGGAAAACGTCCATTACCAACTGAAATGAAATGAATTCACCACATAACCTTTCAATTCACATTCACATAAAAAGAGACGTTATTGAAAGGATGTCAAAACCAAGAAGAAAAGACTATGGAGATTGGATCTTCCTAATGAACCCATATCAGTTTGAAATGGAATGAAGCATTTCTAGAAATAAAGATTCATGTTTAAATATTTCTTAATTCCACGCTAAATATTTCTGAATTGTGAGTTGAT